GGCAGGGCAGTGACATTTCTAATGGGTTATTGCTGGACGTGCCTACTAGGGAGGTAAATTATGTGCTGAAGTACATTATAGAAAGCCAGTATGGTCTAAATGAATATTAGCTCCTCATGGTCCCAGGGCATGTGTAATGTCTGTAGGGAGCTGTTTCTTGTTCTTCCAGTGGAATTATATCACACCAAGCACAACAAGTTTCATGACTTGAAGTCATTGCTCTTGAAGCAACGCTAGTTCAATCAGCAATGAAAAGATCTTTATTGTAGGATAAGTGCAATAGGAAAAGAAAAGCAGTAGCTTTTCACTGTCACTAAATGTGCTTACATTGATAAAGCAGCGCATGGCAGCTTTGTTTTGTGCAAAGACGAGACGCTCCAATTTTGTTTGCTAGTGCATTTCTGCAACTGCAGGATAGTGGAGGAGGGCCATTGTGGCAACCATCTATAATTTCAGTCTCAGAATGAACAAAACTACTGTCCACAATAAAGAGAATGCACATTTTGTGTTTAATGGAACATTTATTTCCTTTCTACTCGTATGTCAAAATCATAGAATGGCTTAGGTTAGGACCTTAAAGAACTCCAGTCCCTCTGCCATGGGGAGGGGGCATGTGATTGTTTGTGTGCTATTGTACAGTAAATTTGTAGATTGTCTAAATTTGATTAATCTGTACAAAATCTGTCACGTTTCATAGTATCTATTATTCTTTCTGTTATCTGCTCTCTTATAATTTCCATCCATGAATGATTAGACATCTCTGAGAAGGTAATGTTATAACATGTAGAAATATTCCAAGAAAATACGGATTATTTGTATTGTGGCTTAGTGTACTATTTTTCTCCTACAAAATGGAAGTGTTTCAATTTTGGCCTGGAAGAATGATCTGCAGCACTGCAAAAAATGCAGATCCTTACAGAATGAAGATGCTCTTCACCAGAGACAAACACTGGCATTCAAAACATTATTGCCCATGTTTTGATTTTTATGTGGTTGGTAATGCCTCTGTATTAGTTCAAATGTAAAACAGAACACTTTAATGTAACACTGCACTTATCTCTCAACAAAGAGACAGAGAGTTCAGTGCATATGCTATGCCATCAGAAACAGCAGAATCTCTTATAATTTAGCACAAGCAGAAAACAAGCTATTTGCTCTTCAGCTAATGAATATCTTCTGTGGTTGGAAGTGTTCCATGAACCATGACCCTATAGTAAAATGTATTTCTTTTGCTTGTTACAGTGGTCAGTAGCTATTTCATTTTAAGCTATTGTACAGAAATCTAAAGCATGCAACTCAGCACTGCCAGTGCCTGTGGGGATGTTATGAGGCTGCTGCAAACATAACATTTGAGTCCTTTAGGGACAAGTTGTATCTTGAAGCTATTAAGCTGTGAATGAAAACTGCAGTGAAGCTTTGTGTGTTCTGATTGAACTGCTGAAAAGATGCTGGCTGATAATAATTTAACCTATGGTATATTAACACAAAAAATATGTGCAAGTGTTATTAAGGTCACGGCATAAGCTGCAGAAAGCAAGGAAAAAAAAAGTGGAAAGGTACATTTTATATTCAGTCCAAAACTGTTGTGTGTGATGTACAGTGTGACATCCAAAGTTGCTTAACATAACTCAGTATTTGCCATATCCCAATTTTATGTAACAGAACAAAGCAAAAATGTCAAATCTGTAGAGTGTACAGATTTGTGTGGCCCAATATTTAGTGGAATGTGGATCTGGGTATGGACTAGATGCAGTTATAGGGACAGAAAGAAACTTAAAAAAAAAAAAAAAAAAAAACAACACCCAGATGAGCCATTCTTCTATGTGTTTTTTAATAGGATTACTCTATTAGTAAAAATACATTTTCCAGTGGTAAAAACTGCTGCGTTGGCCTGATTGTTGCCTTCCTCTGATAAATACTAGGAGAATAGAAAATCTGACTTTTCCAAAAGTCCACTGGGCTACATCTATGAGGCAGAACTCCTGCCATCCATGATTTTATAAAGGTCCTGAGTCAAGCCCTAAGCCTGCAGGCTGCAAGGCAGCCACAATGTGCCTGGGCAAATTCCCAGCCTGGACAGGGGGGAATCCACTCCCTGGGATGAGCACTGAGGGCACTGCGAGCATGTGGCAGCTTGGGCTTCGAGAGAAGCAGAAGTGCAAGACAAGTGGGGGGGAAAAAAGAAAAGGAGCCGAAAAGACCGGGTAATCAGTGTCAAAGACAGGGAAAAGCAACATGGCAAAAAACTGGGTATTACATAGCACCTCCTTCTGGTCTCCACAAATCTACCTGACAAAGACTGTACAACCAGTTTTCTCCGTCTGCAAGAACCCTTGCCTTATCCTAGGCAGACAGAAGAAAGCAGGTCAAATAAACACGCATGAGAGAATGAAAAGTTCAGATGACAAAGACAGGATGGAAAACATTTATTTGTTAGTTGTCGCTGCAGTCAGTTTATCTCCAGTTTAAATTTTGTTTCTGTTCTGTGCCTCTTGGCTCATCCACTTGACGCGCTGGTTTCCCATTCTCTGACTATCACTTGGTGGGTAAGATTCACCTCTGATTCTGCTCGGCTCAATGTTTCAGAAGGGTTTTCTGGGATTCCTGAGTAAAAGGCACAGGAGAACTATAAAATGCTGTTATTACTCTGGGCTTTAGTGAGGTCATGTATTAAGGACCTGATGTAATGGAAATAATGACAGTGACCCGCTCCTATCACATTCAGTATTTCTTATGTGGGAAGAGTCTTGACTGAAATCTTGCAGGGCTCTGCCATAAATGTAAGCATAAGGGAGGAATGTGTTAGCACATTTAAGGAGGGAAAGAAAGCATTAAAAGTATCTTAAAATCTAAATACTTAAATATTTCTTTTAAATCTATGTTTGGGCACTTACAGATGGAATTTAAAGCTGGTGAGCAATTCCAGATGTAACCACCTTCAAAAGGCGCTGGGAATACTGCAGCCCCCTCAGTCCCAGCAGAGAACTGGTCTGATATTTAGCTATGCATTCAAGTAACCTCAGACATTCAGCTCGGAAGATGCTGTCTGAAAACTGAATATTTGAAAAACCAACAAAAAAATTCCAGATCCTTTGTTAACAGCAGTTAGCCTTTTCCAAACATTGGGAGATCTATGGGACAGCTCACCATAAATACTAGCAAAAACACGAGGAAACCAGTTTCTTCTTTCTGATGAAATAACTCCCTAAATCTTATTCCTTTGGACCAACAGTTGGCAATGCTCTCTCAGAGTTACTGCTCACTGCCAGCGTAAAAATGCTGGGGCTGATTCAGCAGCCATAGCACACTGTAAATATTGAAGCTCGTGGAAAGGAGCGCAGCGTGGGAGTAACCTTTTCCTCCCTTCTGCATACTTCCAGCCGCTTTATGCCCTTTTGCACAGTTGTGAGCTCTCAAACTTGAAGCAGAGAGCTGCTGGAGGCTCTGGAGGACTGTTGGAGGGGGAGCTGGGCAGGTGCTGTCGTTTGCTGTGCTGCCAAGAGGTTCAAAGGTGCTTTACTTCAGCTGCAGTGTGTGGAGTGGCGCCCGGTGAGATCCCTGCTTGTGCTGCCCAGGGCTGAGCATGAAACTCACTGGCTGATGGGAGGTGGGGATTTTTCCACTCTGAAGAAATCCTGCAGCCCAGAGACAGTGAAGGCTCAGGGATGCATCCCTGCTGGGGCAGGCAGAGGCACTCGAGCTACTTGGCAGCAAATCTTTTGTGCAGGTGCAGAGAGCAAAACAGATTCTCCTTGAGATTTATACATCAGTGAGCATAAAATATCCTCCTGCCTTGCATGAGTGTCTGAGCTTTGGGCCTTCTTTTCAAGGCTTAATATTCTGTGGAGAACAAGGGAGCCAGTGAAATGTTTCCTCTGCAGTGCCTGCTGGCTGGTGTCTGAAGTAGATAATACCACCCAAATGAGTGTGTTGTATCTCTGCCCGCAGACTGCTGAATTAACAGTGGTGATAATACATCACAGGCATTCATTTCCTGTCTGCTCGATGAGGAGATGATATGCATTTGCTGTAGATTAAAATACCACAGCAAGAAGTAAACCAACCCAAACGGATCACCAAATTCACTCAAACACCACTAAAATGTACTCGTGTGACATCAGTCCCCCTGGTTTTAGCCTGGCCCTGGTCTTGTGGGTTTTGTTAATAGAGCTCATGCCATTTTCCACAGCTGTGAAATGGTGAAAACAGAACAAAATACTGACACATACTTTGTGTCAGTATAATTTGGTGGTATAATTGTGCAGATCTTAAAAATGGCACTCTTGGCCAACATTACTACAGTACTGCATTTTCCAGACCCAAGTTTAGCTTTCTGTAATGTTAAACTGAAAAATGACAATGGCTTTAAGCATGCTGGCATTTCAATTGCTCCACCTGAGGTATTCCTACAGGAAAAGGATATCTTTCCCATCACAGGACCAACCACCAGAACAGTTCTAGTGAATTTCAAGATGTACAGACAGGGGTTACAAATTCCAAACTGAACGTGTTTGGTGACATGGACCAATTGGGTACAGCCACTGCTACAGGACAAGAACCAACTGAAAATTCCAGGAGAGGAATGTAACTTCTACTTGAATTTCATTAAAGCTTGAAAGACCACACTGCTTCAGCATGAAGGGTTAGGTTACGTCCAGGAATAAAGTACTTTTTCTACAAGTTAAAATGTTTGTCTTGTGTTTTGTTGTTGTTCCTGTTATTTGTTTGGTTTTGGTTTTGTTTTGTCTTTTTTTTTTTTTTTTTTTTTTTTTTTTTTTTTTTGTAAAGGTCTACCTGATATTCTCTAGAGAAAATAAAAAACAGAGTGTGCAGAGCGTGTGTGTGGTTTTACAACAGGAAGATAAAAGGAAACGTTCAGAGCATGCTGATCATTAGTGCTCAACAGGAGAGAGCAGAAGTAGATTTATTTATGCAGTATAAAATGCAATCTGTGTTTGTGCTGTTGTAGAAGAGCTCACTCAGCTTCCCTCCATCACCAGAACCTGTCCCAGAGGAATAGGCACCTCGGCCCATGGAGAGGGGCATACAGCACAGAGCATCCACCGTGCCAATGCAAACGCAAGGCTCTGAGGTCACAGCTCTGAGCAGACAAGACCAAGGACCAAAGGCACAACTGTCCCACGTCCAAGGGCAACCCTGACCAGGAATGGGTGGCTGTCTGCTCACAGAGCAGCTACACATGGTTTGAGTAACCAAGGTCACTGAGTTGGACTCATGACCCAGTGATTGGAGTCCTCGCCTTACTCTGAAAGGAAGTAGCAATCATCCCAGGCACTTACAAGACTCTTTTCTCTCTCGCTCCCCCACCATATGTAAAAAACATGCTTTTGTGACCAGGTAGACACCTTCTATTCTTCTGAGAAAAAAAAAGAAAAAAAGATTAAAAAAGCAAACATGCGTGCAGTCTTTCATATCCATCACCTCCAAGGCAGATTGCATGAAGCACCATGCTGGCTCTCATCATAATTTCAAGTAGTAATTGAGTCATATTTCATCACGTAAATGCACACTTAAAAGCACTTTATCACAGTTCTTACTGTTTCTGCACAGTTTTATCTCTATGCTATCACTCTATTGCTTTGGTGGGTGCATTTAATGCAAGGGAATCCCCACCTCTATGACTGTGCTATCATCTTGTGTTTTCAAAATTAGCACTTAGTTATGCTTCACATGAAATATAGTGTGAAATCCCTGTGAAAAGATAACTATTTGCAAGAGCAACAGAATGTGGAGGAGAAAACAGAGAGGGGAGGAGAGCCACAGTTTGCTGATGTGAGATTGTTGGCTGCTTGAGAGCTTACATCTTTTTATTGGCAGTGTATCCTTCCTTCCTGCAGTATTTACTGTCTGCAGCCCTCAGGATCAGGTAGAACCTGGAAAACTTGGGCACGTAAGCATAAACTTTGAAGAAGTATTCTAATACTTTTTGTATTAAGCACTTTTTTATTAAACTCAAAATGTATGAAACTTGTAACAAAATTTGGATGATTGTACTATATGCTCCGAGTTTTACAGATATTATAATTTGTACAGTATCAGCAGCAGGGCAAATGATACTCCATAGAATCACCTGGGGCCACTCTGGCTAAAGGAAAAATAATATATTTTTTCCCCACTGTACTTATTACACTTTAACTTTTGGTTAGCTCTGAAGAGCTCGAGAATTTGGACCAGATGATCTATTGGTCCCTTCCAACTGAACTATTCCATTCCATTCTATGCTATTCTATGATTTGATTAGACTCTACTCTACTCTACTGTTTGAGCTTTCTATGCATTCTTCACAGAATTGCCAGGGTTGGAAGGGACCTCAAGGATCATGAATCTCCAACCCCCCTGCCA